TTTTCAGACTTTTTCTATTTTCTATTGTTAAGACTTCTTGATCTTGAGGGTGGAAAATGGGTATGTTACTCAATATGTGCTGGACACAGGATTCCCTCTGAAGATAAAAAGGATAAGAAGACTGAAGAAAGAATAATAAGCCCATCATAAACTATAATCACCCTATGATTGTTTAGTTCCTTACAATAGAAGCTCTAAAAGTACTTACACTTTACCATAAGAATAAAGAATAAAACACTTGTAGCTTTTGTATGTTGATACAGGGTAGCAGTGACTAAAACAGATAAAGGGAGTACTCTACATTAGAACTTTCTGAGGTGATAGATATGTTTCTATGCTAGGGAATGTGGTAGGCACTAGCTAGATATGGCCACTGAGCAGTTGAAATGGAGTTAGTATGATTAGAAAATTACAATTTTATTTTTATATAATCTTAATTTTATTAAATTTAAATCATTTAGTAGCTATTTAAGCTTAATAGCTTTTGTTAAGCAAAATTGCTATTCAAATAGTGTGGTATTCCATTTAGTGTTGATAGGCTTACTGTACCTCTAGTTTTATTTTTTAAATCCAATTTATGGTTAGGAGAACCTAGAAAGGTCAAATAGAAAAAGACAATGAGGAATAATAAGCATAGCCAACATTTACTGTTTTTTTTTTTTTTTCTTCAGCCTTTCAACCAAGTAGTAACTAGCTTGCATGGAGAGCATGGAAAGTGGGTTGAAAGACACGTGTCTGGCTTCTGTGACCCAAAGTGTCCCAATTTAATTTCTCTTTTTGCATGTATTCCACATATCCTATTTTTTTTCTCTCTCTTGTCATAATGCCAGGCACTTATCTAAACATTTAAAAGGTATTTTATGTGGTCCTTGCAAAAATAGTAAGTACTATTATTGTAAGTACTATTATTATTGCTATTTTACAGATGAGAAAACTGAGGCATAGTAGAACTTTTACTTGCCTCATCTACACCACATGAATTCAAGAATGAGGTGGCAATGGAGTCACTGGGGCCATGGTTTCCAAACTCTGTACCAAGGTGCAAACTTGTAGCGGCACTATAGGGTATCTTTATTTGTTTATTTTGTCAAAACCAGGATCTTGCTATGTTGTCTGAGCTGGTATCAAACTCCTGGGCTCAAGTGATCTTCCCACCTCAGCCTCTGGTCTGGAGTAGTTGGAACTATAGACCTACACACCACACCTACATACATGCATATGTGTGTAGGTCTGTATGTGAGAGAGAGAAAGAGAAAGCGGGCTGGGGGGGGGGAAGCAAGGTCTTGTAAATTATACAGGCTGTCCGTGAATTTACAATCCTCCTGCCTCCACCTCCTCAATTGCTGGGATTACAGGAGTGTACCACTGCACCAAGCTATTTGGTACTTCTTGCACACTGAATAATTATCTTGAGGTCATTCATAGTTTGAACATTAGATTGTGCTACATTGCTTTTTGTGATAAAATATATTAGTTTTAGGAGATCTTTCTGATAAAAAAGTTTGAGAAGTTGTACAGTACCCAGCAGGAGCACATATCCTGTTAGTAACTATTTATGGTTATTTTAGAAAAAAAAGAAAAATATATTTTCTTTCAAGTTGTACTGTTTTTCAAATGGCTACCAAACTGTTATGAATCAACTACTCAAAACCAAACCTAGAGGGAGAAAAAAGGCAAAGAAAGATATTAGGTGTTTCTTTTGATCTAGAAGTGCTATGAAAAAGTTGTTGAGATACTGAAGTGTGCTATGAACTGAGAAATTGGAAACTTTGGACTTAATTGTTGGAAACAGATCAAAATAGTCATAAAGTAGGAGTATGGACATTTGGTTTGAGATGGCTTAATGGGTAATAATAGATATTTAATAGGTAGTTCATGTATATGGCCATCCAGTGTTTATGTTCACGGTACAACAAATCCATAAATGTACAAAATACCCAAATCTGTACCCTTCAGTGGTTAAAAACCTCTGAGGAAAACAATAAGAGAAGTAAAGATGATTTGACAAGGACAGGGACAGGACAGGACTTCAGACAGGATTTAAGCAATCCAAAGCCTGAAGATGTGATCTAAGGCCTGCTAGGCCTCATAGGGCAAACTCTTCTCAGGGTCATGGGTTAATCCAGGATTAAAAAAAAAAAAATAGGGTCCAAATGATTATGTAGGTGTTTGGTTGCTGAACCTGAATCAGAGTAAAGTGTAGAAGTAGAGATGTAGCTCAGAGAGTATGCATCTACTGTTTTTGAGACTCTGGGTTCCATCTCCAGCGAGGTGAAAGAAAGGAAAACAATAACAACAACAACAACAAACAAACAGAGTAAAGTGTGTTAAGGTCTGAAGATTATGTTACTCCGACCAAGATATTGTCTGGTAAACAATCTTTGCCTACCACATAAAGGTGCATTTTTTTTTTTCTTTTGCAGTTCTGGGATCAAACCCAGGTCCTCACAAATGCTAGACAAGTATTCTGCCATAGTGCTACACACTCAGCCCTTTTTTGTTTTATTGTGGGGCAGAGTCTCACTAAGTTGCTCAGGCTAGCCTCAAAATTGTGATCTTCCTGCTTCTTTCTTCTGAGTAGCTGGGATTATAGTTGTGCATCAATGTTTTTGGTAATAACATTATATCTCTGTAGTAAGACGTAAATCAAACTGTTCCTCACAGAAAGTTGGAGAAACACTACAGAAAGTTGAACTTGTTCCTCAGTTTTCCTTTTGTAGATAAATATGGCAGATCATATTTTTGTGACTTTTTTAA